CATTTTATATTATTTTTGATTTGCAACTTTATGTCTTGCTTCTCTTCACCCTGCAGCCTTATTTCTAAAAAGAAAGGATTTTTTCCCCTTACCTTTAACTTGCAAGAATTGCTGTTTCTGATTCATCCTCTCACCCCCTTACTATCAAAGTCCAGTTTATCCTTTCCCTGTTATGACCTTTTCTGTTTGTTATTTCACTGTTTGTACTCTGGCCTTCCACCCCCAACTTTTTATTACCTTATTTATTTACTCACTTGCTTAATTTTTGTATGTCAGCCCTTTAAGATAGATCAGACTGGGAAACCAATGTCTTGTAGGCCAGTACTACTTTTATTCTAAAGCAATGGTAACAGAATCTTGCAAGTCTGAATGTGCTACACACACATACCCCCCCCCCACACTTTTATCTTCATGTGAACTAGGGAGGGTTTGTCTGAGATGTTACAGACTTGCCCTGGACTCAGGACCCTTTTTATCTGAGCACTGCCTTGGTAGTGGCTCTTTCTCCTGTCTCTCAAGGCCATTCCCTCCTTCTCTACATTTCCAAAGGTTCCAAAAGTAATCGCCTTTTTCTCACTTTTGGGGTTGGGGAGGAGAAGCTAATGTTTTCACCCACTCACTGACCCATTCTACTGTGTTGTCTTGTGTGTGTGTGTTTTTTAATGTCATACTATTTTTTTTTTTTGCCAATTTCTTGCTTTTGCTTTCCATATTACTTTTACAGCAGTCTCCGTTTTTGACACAACAGATGCAGTCTAAATTAAACAAGCCAAGAAACAAAATATTTTATGTATTCTATAAATGTGTGTGAGAAAGAGGGGAGGATTTATGTTTAAATGTTTCTAAGCTGCCTTTAAGGACAAAAATCCTCCTTTAAGGGCAAAGATCCTCTCAAAGTATCTGTCATTCTATATATAAATGCTATTTTAGAAACATGAAATAATTAAGTGGTAATGATATGACATTTGTATCTACTTAAGTATGGTTAATAGATGATGACATATATCACTTGAGAATGAACTTATATATTAAAAAAGGCTTGATGGGTTCTACAATAAATATCTAGAGCCAAGACAGGTGAGAACTGCATATTCATGAAAGCCGTTGTCTTAAAACAGAGAGCTGTGCTTTCTGATATTTAAGAAAAGAAGGAAGAATGCTTCTTATGCATACTTGTTCAGAAGTAAAATGCTAATCTGGACAGGACTAACATATCCTAGCTATACATTAAAATAACCTCTGTGAGTTTGTGACAGGATGGAGTGCCTGGCTGAAGGAAAGTGGCTGGGTCTGTGCCAAGGTCATGGATTTTGGGGGGGGGGGGGGAGAAAGGCAAATGACTCAGCAAGCAGGCAGAAAGGGGAAAATGTTAGAATGCACCTGTAAAGAATATAAAAAGAGGCAGGAAAAGCAGAGGGAGGCTTGTATTGCAGATGCTGCAGGACGTGCTGCTGGAGAGGATGTCACTTGGTTAACATGGAGTGGAGTGAGGCCTGTTGAGTCCAGAGATTCCGGTCCTGGGACAGGGAAGAAGGCCAGGAGGAAAATCCTGGAGCACTTGTGAAAATCTGGAAAGTCTGGGAGAATGGGTTGTGTTGGGTAAGGAGATTCAGATACTGGACAGTGGAACTTTGTGAGTTAAAGGCTTTGTTGGGCAGGAAGACAGCCAGGAGAAAACTCACAGACATTCCAGCATCAGTAATTGAGATAAGGAGGGAAGAAGAAGCTGTAATAAAGAACAAGTGGAAAGTGAGGGAAAGAGACTGGAGAGGGAGGAAAATTAGGTACTGTAGATTATTTCTTATATTATATGCCTATATATACTATGCTGTACATACTGGGTTTTATAAATAATAATTTCACTTGTATATATTATTAGATCACACTACTATATTAGCATAAATATTTAGTGTGCAGAATAAAATCCCTCATTGGTTTAAGTACTGGCTGTGTGTAGGTCTGTATCTGCTCCTATCCTGACTGCCCTCCAACAGAGTTTTTTTCCAAACAGATGCATAGCATGATCAGATAACCTAGGAGTATTGTTTATAGTAATTCTTAGGATATGGTTATTGATTGCAACATTAACTAATCAGCAAGTAGTCAGTTGTGCAAGTAAATGGATTTTGCAATATAGTTCCTGCATCTGGAACAGGCTGTGGCCCACTGGAGTGAGAAACAGATGTGTTACTTAGAATAATTTCTGCACCCTAACTGACCTATTATTAAAATATAGCATTAAAGGCATATTCAGTGCACATAACTATCCCATCTCAATTTGTTTTATAAACTAAAATAAGTTACTCTAGACAAAGGGTTGAGAGACACAAGAGCAGAGGAGAACTTGGATTTCTGATAACAGTAGTAAATCAATATATTTAGTTGAAATTAGGTTTGCAATTAAAACTCACTGAGGACAAGCGACTGGCTTCATCCAACTGCTATCAATTGTGGGCTCTTTCTTCTCCCTTATTCTTATTTGCAAGAATATTGTACACTAACTTTATACATAAAATTAAATATTCCAGACAAGCATGTGACTGGAAAGACAAGGGGTTTGATTAGAACTATTTCTGCCATTCTTGGGCTATAAATAAGATGGAATGGATGATGAGGATGACAAACCCATATATGTAACACAGAACTGGATCAAAAAGAAAAGAGAGAAAGTTACTTCCTCCTGCCCCTAGTCTGTTCTGTTCCAGCTTCCACTCTCCCCAAGAAACAAGCTAAAATCAGAAACTTCAACTCATCTAAAATGATCATTCATACTCATGATGTCATCTCCATTTAAACCTTGCACTGTACCTAAGATTTTGAATGCAGTCTCCTGTGTTGTTTTATATTTATACTTTTTAATTGTTCTAATTGTTTTTAATGGTTTTGTTTTGATTCTTTCTGGTTTCTTTTTAATTGTGTGAGATGGATGGCTATCTAAATTCAGTAAATAAGTTAAAAAACAAATCCACACCATGCTGCTGAGACAGCCTAGAATTGCCTTTAGCTGTTCCACTGAAGTGGTGTTTTCCTCCTTCTCCCAACCAAATTTCCAAAATTGGTGACTTAGAGTACCTTGGGAACACTGCAGTCAGGAATAACAATCTGCAACACCCCTCCTCATCCAGTCACTGGGAACTGAATGTCTGTGGAAATTTTGGCTTTGACTACGATAGAGACCAGATTCTTGGGTCATACTGTCTTTAGCCTGGAATACTGAACTCCCAGGAGACCAATATATTTATTAGCCAGAAACCCTTCTATTTGGAGCATATGTATATTTTATGTGTTTAAATGCTAGGGGGACTGTAAAGTAGGCAAAATGCATAAGTAGACACACCTGCACACACACATATGTGAAATTGGGAATAGGAGAGAGAAGCTTTTTGCTTGACCAAAAACAATTCAGGTAGGAAACCAGTTTCAGGAAAGCAAGATCCAGAGGTACAAAAATACTGAGATATTTCTTGTTCGGTTTTCTTTGCTTTGTATTTCAAATCAGGTCCTCCAATCTCTCAGGCAGACTTTGCAGCTGTGGGTTGTTTGATATAGGTTTACTGATTTTCTAATTGTCTTGGAAGATCAACAGTCCTATCATGCACAAACATGCAGAAAACAGTGAAAATTAAGGCTAAATAATAGAAATTAAAGCTTGAACCTCTGACCCCATCACATATTCAGAAGTGCAACTGGTGATTGGCTTTCCTGTCAAGAGGTGACACTGGGTGGGGTGGGATGGGAAAGGACAGCAGGGATTCCACCAATTTCTGCCATAAAACTACCCCACAGAAATGGTTTCAGTGAAGCAATATTGCCTGGTCTCAGTGCTAAGGCATGGTAAAGGCAGGATGTGGGGCAGCACAGTTTATGTAGTACACTTTTCTGCCAACTGGGCAGGATGGGAGGAAGGTTCATAAATGAGGCCATGAGGAAGATCCCTAAGAGGAAATAAAAGTAGTTTCATCCAAGTACCCATGGGAATCCATAGTATGAAGAACCATTCCCAGTTTTGCTCATGTAATTCTAAATTACAGCAAATGGTAGGGTGGCAGACTTTTTGTTGTCAGTAAAAGAGCAATGATTGGCAGCCCTGACAATTCTCCATCTAGAAGCATCCCCAGCTGGGTAATGTGAAATTCAATTCAAACAATCCTGTTGAAATTAAATTCAATTCTTTCACTTCTACTGATTTTTTATAAATGGTGTTATATAAACATACACAAAGATTTCATAAGGAGGATATCAATTTAACAAAGGTTGTACAGTGCCAACAGATTGGGATATGGATGATCTAAAGTAGATAAGCAAGAATTTCTAATTTCCATTTGTCTTAAAATAATAGCAACACCATGACCCTCTCTGCTGACTAGAATAGGAATAAACAAGCTTTTCAGAATAAGGAGGCACCTGCTACTACATCTGGATTTTAGAGGTGGGCCTGCTAGTTCGTGCATATGCACACCCAATCTTCTCACACAAGTAGACAACTAATCTCACTTCACACACACATGGAGCCAACCCCCCTGATGTACACCCAACTTCCACTCATTCTTACACACCCAGAAACATGCATACATGCGTTCCCTAGCACATATTCAAGAATGTCACTCATTTACACAAATACATATTCCTATATTCCTACATTAGGTAGCTTCACAAACTGAACTATGCAATAAAGTAGTTTGCTTGGTTTTGGTTTAGTGTGCAGTGTGAATCCAGCCACTGTGATGTACTTAATAAACGTGATTAAATCTATGGTTTTGCATGGTGTGGAAACTAAGTCAGTGGCATCACATGACATGTAAGGCCATAACCTATAGTTTACAAAACATGAACTGTAATACTTTACCATGTTATAGCAACCCAGCCACTATCAGGTAGCGTATCTCATACCATTTGGTTATTTTGGTATTAAAATTGGAAGGGAAGAATGGTGTACACTATTTTGAGTTTCTGGTATAACTGAAATTAAAAAAGTATGAATTATAGTTCATTGTACTTACACTTGGTTGCAGTAAGGGGCTGGGAATGTAGTCTGGAGAGATTAAGCCAGAGAAAGGAGGCTTTGAATGCAAAACTTGTGAATTAAACTCTCAACAGTCCTCGCAACTACACCGTAACCTAAAAGGAGGAAAAGTTAGTCCTTCATAGCAAGAAGAAAGAGGGTAAGTGTCAAGGAATAAATAAGAAAAAAAAAATCAAGCTTGCAAAAACGAGAGAAACAACAAGGCTCTCTCCTGTCTTAAAAAATGACAGGTTTAAAAACGCAATTCGGTGACGTGACCAAAAAAAAGGGAAAGATAGAGCGAGCGAGCGAGCTCTAAGGTCATGGAATGGGCCGTACCACTTCAAACTGCAGTGAACTTGTGTCATTTACTTCTTCTCCACATTAAAAACTCTATTTAGGAAACCAGCACGAGAAGAAGCCAAGGGCTCGGACACAAACTGTCTCCCCTCCCCCGGCTTTTCTGCCTTCCTACTTGTAGATAAAATTTTATTTAGAGAAGCAATCGGGAAAGCGGACCCCTATATACCTTCTGAAGTAGTACAGGCTATTTTGCCACCTGAGGACGTTCTGGTTTATCACGTGCGTAACAGAGTAAATAAGTAATAGCAGGAGGAAAGCTGGTAAATGGTACTGAATCTATACAGTTGCGTGTCTGAGCTGCGATGACAGAAACTACGTTAAGGATCTCAGTTATTACAATTGTCAAAAAACGACAGACACGGGTTCGGTTATCCAGTAGACAGAAGTTTTTATTG